TCAGGCAGAGTTTGGGAAGATACTTGTGTACGGGACCCAGTGGTAAGCAAGCCAGCCCTGTATCAGAATCTGGTTTTCCTGGGGGATTTCCTCCAAGCCTTTTCTGCCACTCATAAAGGGGACTTTTCTTCCCATCTCACCCACTTTTCTTTTAAGAATGCAAAGGTTTTTCCACCATGACTGGTAGCAGGAGCACTTGCACTGATGAGTAAGGTAGAGATGAGCAAAGGGAAAGGTACAGGACGTGGGTACAGTGGCAGTGTGTATACATAGAGCTTTTAAACTTATGATGCACTGTCTTCTGTAAGTCAGAGGCTGATTATTCATAATTAAAACATGCGTGAGAAACGGAGTGTGATAAGCCGGCAGATTTATAGAAGAGAAGGTACATCCAGTAATAAAGCTGGCCTCGTCTGACAGAAGAGCAGAAAAGGCAGTGGGTTTTGAGAATTCAGCCTGCACACCCACCAGCCACACAAGGTTTTGCTGGATTATTTCATGACATTTCGCAGTGTGGGTTTCTCCCCCCTTTTGCCTGCATTTTTAATGTAGCATTTTATATTTTTAGTTAAGTTCCATTAAAACACAGAAGTTCAGAATGTTACTTGTTTGCAGCTCTACCAGGAAAGAAGCCATTGTTTTCCAGTTTTAGTAATTGAATTAAAGATAAAAGCAAAGGCCTCAACCTGTGAGGGGTCTGCCCTGCCCTGTGCTCTCTGTCCTGTTGGTCCAGGCATCAGAGAGTTGGGCTAGTGGAGAGGTGGAAGAGGTCACGCTCCTCTTACAGTCCTCGAGTGTAGCCCCCAGGGCCCTCAGGCCTCTATCCTCTTTCCAGCCTCATCGCCTGCCTTCCCTACTCATCTGCCCTCCCCTATCTGTGTCCTTCCTTTGCTCCAGCCCACCACTGTGTCTTGTCCCTATGATGTTGGACATACTGCTCCTGTCCTTGAAGTGCCCGTCACCCTTCCTTCCTGACTCCCTTGTTCTTTTCTTTTTTCTTTTTTTTTTCTTTGATGGTTAATCCTCACCTGAGAATATTTTTTTCCATTGATTTTTAGAGGGAGGGAGGAAAGGGATAAGGCAGGAAAGAGAGAGAATTATTGATGTGAGACACATGGATTGGTTACTTCCCCCACACGCCCCAACTGGGACCAGGGAACAAAACTGCAACCAAGGTACATGCCTTTGACCAGAAATTAAACCTGAGA